TCTATCAGAATTAAACGGTTTACAAATATCATTATAATTAATTCTATAACCCTTTAATTTACGTGAGTAAGCCTTATGATATTCTACATAGTTATTAATCCAAATGTTATCAGCTTCTTTAGCCATTAACTCATCTCCCATAATTGCAAGTCTCAACTCATCTGGATGAATATCAATACTATTACTAGAATAAACATAGTAAGGTATATCAGGTGGATGTGCATACGAACAATTGGGATTATTACATCTCCCAGCCATAAATTGATTACATACTTGCTTGTCTATCATAATAAATAAAAAGGATGAAAATAATAAGGATTGTAAAAATAATAAAAAAATTTAATAAGAAATTTAATTGAATGATCAGAAACTTGAATTTAAAAATTAATCGATTGTTTAAAATGCATAAATAGAACATCATTATAGATTTTTTTTATAAATTTTTTTTGAAAAATTTATTAATTAAAATGACACAGACAACCAGTGAAAAAGAGTTGATAGATTTGCAATTTAAACACTGTTTTAAGGTTTTAAGCAAACTAAAGAAGAATCTTAATGCACCACCGTTCTTACAACCAGTGGATCCTGTCCTTTTAAACATTCCTGATTATCCTGAGAAGATTAAGAATCCAATGGATATATCTACAGTTAATAAAAAATTGGAAACAAAAGAATATAACGAGCCTTTAGAGTTTTATGATGATATGAAATTAATGTTTTCAAATTGTTATGAGTATAACGGAGAAGGTGCCCAAGTGAGTATAATGGGGAAAGAGTTAGAGAAGGTATTTGATGATATGTGGTTAAACTTGCCAGATAAAATCGCTAGTAAGAAAAAGTTGTCAGTTGGAAAAGATCAAAGTGTAGCCCCTAAAACAATGTCTAGATACGACGAAGCAGTAAGTTTATATGAAGAGATAAAAAAGCCAAAGAATAAAAGAATTATATGGCCGTTTTTAACATCTGTAACAAATGAAGAAGCACCTGGTTATTCTTCTATAATAAAAAATCCTATGGATTTAGGTACAATAGGAAAGAAGCTAGAAGCCAATCAATATCCAGATTATGAGTCTTTCTATGAAGATCTTAAATTAATAGTAAAGAATTGTAAGATCTACAATCCTAAGGGTACAGATATTTATAGACTAGGACTGGAATTTGAGAAGTTATTCACAAAGAATGAAATGTCTCGAATAGAAGATATCAGGGCACAAATTAGTGATTTAAATAACAAACTAATTGAACTTCAAGAACAAGTAATAAAAGATACGGGAAGAAATATTTACTCAATAAAAGACAGAGAAAGAATGACGAGTATCATTTATGATATGTCACAAGAAGAGTGTGATAAAGTAGTTGAAATAATACAAAGAGTGGCACCTTCTTCTATTGTTTATATTGAAAAAGATACTGTTGAAGTGAATTTTTTAACTCTTCCTGACAATGTAATTGAAGAATTAGATAATTTTATTA